TGATTTATTGTAGAGATGAGGTCTCGCCAAGTTGCCCAGGCGGGTCTCGAACCCGGCAATCCACTCACCTCAGCCTCCCAAAGGCGCAGGATTACAGGCTGAGCCACTGAGCCTGGCTTGTGAAGGACAATTTTATTCGTTTTGTTTTGTTTGAGTCAGAGTCTCACTCTGTCGGCCAGGCTGGAGTGCTGTGGCATACTGCTCATGACCACGGCAGCCTCGACCTGCAGGGCTCAGGTGATCCTTTCGTCTCAGCCTTCCAAGTAGCTGAAACCACAGGTTCACACCACCATGCCCGGCTAAGTTTTGATTTATTGTAGGGACGAGGTCTCACCAAGTTGCCCAGGCTGGTCTTGAACTCCTGGGCTCAGGCAATCCTCTTGCCTCAGCCTCCCAAAGTGCTGGGATTATAGCTGTGAGCCACCACGCGTGGCTTTGAAGGACAATTTTAAAAGATGTACTAGAAACAAGCCAAACCCAGTAGGAAATAAACTGGGGGTAGTTTCATCGTTCTTGGAAAAGCAAGTTGCATCTTCCTCATAATCTTCAAATACAAAAAGAAGTCAAAATGTTCTTACCTAATACCACATACAAAAGTTAACTCAAAATGTATTAAAGACCTAAATATAAGAGCTAAAAGTAAACTCTTGAAAGAAAACAGGAGAAAAGCTTCATGACACTGGCTTTGGCAGATATGAATATAGCACCAAAAGTGCAGGCAACAACAACAAAATAGACAAGCTGGACTTCATCAAAAAGTTTGTGCAGGCTGGGCTCGGTGGCTCAGCCTATAATCCCAGCACTTTGGGAGGCTGAGGCGAGAGGATTGCCTAGGCCCATGGGTTCGAGACCTACCAGGGCAACATGGCGAGAGCTCGTCTCTACAATAAATCAAAAATTAGCCGGCCATAGTAGCACACACCTGTAGTTCTGGCTACTTGGAAGGCTGAGCCAGAAGGATCGCCCGAACCCAGCAGGTCGGTGCTAGGACAGCCATGAGTGTGCCACTGTGCTCCAGCCTGGGTGACAGAGTGAGACTCCAACTCAAAAAAAAAAAAAAAAAAGTCTTATGCAAAAAGGATACTATCAACAGAGTGAAAAAAGGCAACCCACAGAATCAGAGAAAATATTTGCAAATCACATATCTAATGAGAAGTTAATATTCAGAGCATGCAGAGAATTCCTAAGAACAACAACAAAACTATCTTATTTAAAAATGGGGAAAGGGCTTGAATGGTCATTTTTCCAAAGAAGATATACAAGTGGCCAATAAGCACATGAAAATATGTTCAATATATCAACATATCATTAGGGAAATGCAAATCAAAACCACCAGATACAGTACTACTTCACATCCATTAGGCACCCCCCCGAGTTGGAGTCTCATTCTGTCGCCCAGGCTAGAGTACAGTGGTACAATCAAGGCTCACTGCAGTCTCAAACATCTGGGCTTAGGCAATCCTTCTGCCTCAGCCTCCTGAATAGCTGGGATTACAGATATGCGTCACACCCAGCTAATTTTTTTGTAGAGACAGAGTCTTGCTATATTGCCCAGGCTGCTCTTGAACTCCTGGGCTCAAGCAATCCTCCTGCCTTGGCTTCCCAAAGTGCTAGGATTACAGGCATGAGCCACCTTGCCTGGCCAGGATGGCCATTCATAAACGAAACAAAACAGAAAACAAGTGTTGGCAAGGATGTAGAGAAATTGGAATGAAAAATGGTGTGGCCACTTTGAGAAATTGTCTGGAAGTTCCTCAGAATGTTAAATACAGAATTATCATATGATCTAGCAAATCTACTTTTTAGTATATACACAAAAAAATTGAGAGCAGGGAGTCCAACACATATTTGTACACCAATGTTTAACAGCAACATTATTCACAATAGCCAAAAGGTGGAAACAACCCAAATGTCCATTGATGGATAAATGCATAAATAGAATATATACAATGGAATATTATTCAGTCTTAAAAAGGAATAAAATTCTAATAAATGCTACATGAATGGACCTTGAATACATGATGCTAAATGAAATAAGTGAGGCACAAAAGTTCAAATATTAAGTTCCATTGGTTCCATTAAGGTACCTAGAACAATCAAATTCATAGATAGTGGTCACAAGGGCTGAGGGCAGGAGGAATGAGGAGCTATTGTTTGATGGGTACAGGGTTTCTGCATAGAATAATGACAAAGTTTTGGAGATGGGTAGTGGTGATGGTTGTACAACAGCGTGAATGTACTTAATGTCACTGAGCTGGACACTTACAGATAGCGAAAATGGTAAATTGTACGCTGTGTATACTCTACCCCCCCACACACAAAGTGGTCAAAATGAAGAAACTTCACAATTAATCCCAAATATAACATCTACATATACACTATAAAAATACATGCAGTTTATTATGCTAGAAAATACATGCCCATTCAGTTACATTGAGGCTCTGCCCTCCATGAAGCCAGTGAGAATTAACAGAAAAATGTCATCTATCTTCTGGATTTTTGAAAAGAAACCCCAGTGTGAAAGGTTGGTTTTGTTTAATATGCGATAATGGATGTACAAGCATCACCTTGAAATGCCCCAAACAGAGGCTGGAATGGTAGCTGGAGTAATCAGAATCTAAGAATTCACAAATCTCTTGCCAGAAGAAAATGGCAGACTGAGCAAGCAGCTCTAGCAAAGAGCCCTGTCTCATCTGCTAATTTACTAAGTGCTACAAGTTCCAGTTAACACCTATCTATCTGTGGTCTTTAGAGTTTATTTTAGGAGTATTTTCGAATCTGTGGAGGATTAAGTTCTTGACTTTTTTCTCCTCCTCAGTCTGCTGCTAACAACTGCAGGGGCCCTACTGTATCCTGAGCTAGCTTTGTGGAAAGCTGTGAATACACTTACGTTAAGTGACATTAACATTAGCGTTCCTAAGTGAAGAACTGCTCTAACACATGCCGGAGATTAAGGAGGTAGTGAATACCTCTAATCTGAGTGCTGAGGATAAACCAAGTACACTGGAATGCTGTCACGTCATTCAGCACCCTTCAAAGTTGGTCAGGACGGAGAAGTGAAGACTATTTTGAGGGTAGTTTTGAAAAGCGTTCCAGAATAGTATCACACTCCCCAACCCCTCCAGCAAGCATGATGGAGGAAAGTAACGAGCATACAAAAAAACTCCAGGAGAGCAGGGATCTATACTCACATTATTCAATCTACACGTAGATTATTCATCATGACCCCCACTACCTAGTACCACATCTTGCATTATAGCAGCGGATACTTAATTACTGACCATATGATATGCCTTAGGAATTGCCACCCTTTCCCCATTCTTGTCAGGAGCTATTGCTCTTAAAGACATCGTCTCATCGGCCTCATCACCAGCGTGTGGACTCCATTGAGAGGCACTTTCCCCACTTCATTTAACTTTGAAATAAGTTGGAGGAGGCTGAGGACACGTGCTTGCTAATCATCTTTTTCCAGATTGCCAGAGAGCATCTTTATTATTGGTCTGTGGTTGCTACTGCTGGAGAAAGATTTCAGTTTGACCTTCCCAAGCTGCTGGAGATGAATGCTGCACGTGCTTGACAGTGCAAATGTATCTTTTTTTTTTTAAAGCTTTTAGACTAACCAGAGCTCACTGTGGTACTTCTCTCGCAGTACAAAACTCAAGATGTTGAATTATTTTGCATAAACATGATAGAGTAAAATGGATCTGAACTGGAAAAAGGTGGCAACACAAAGCACCTTGCAGATACCAGCATCAAAGAACAGCATTCAGGACTGCACCACAGGCAGAGAGGAAAAAAGAACATGAAAGTCCTTTATAAAAGCAGTTTTACATGTAAGGGCGGATTCTCGCAGCTGGCCTCACAAAAGAGAACAAATATGTCAAAGGGAACAACTGATGGGCTAACAGAGTCCTCTCCATCTGGCTGAGAAAAGCCGCTGGTGGGAATACTGAGAAGCTTGTCTGTTGGGAGAAAGGCTTTCTGGGTGCCTCCCTGGGTGAACGGAACACATGGTCCTGCCGGAGCTGGCTGCTGTGCCAATGAGACGCTCCAGGAGGGGTGACTGATGCACTGGGGAGAGGGGGAGAGCAGCACACCTGGGGGCTTCTCACTGGCTTGAGGAGCAGGGTGCAGAGGAATGGGAGTCGTGTGAATAGGATGTCTTATCTTGCGCTTTAAAAACAGAACTCCAGAGTCTCATTCTGAAGCACCAAGTTCAAACCCATGCCATGCTAACGTCCCATCTGTGCTTTTATGTAATGCAAAGCAGAGTGGGAGAAGGAGAAATCAGGCCAGACTCAAGGAAAACAAACACACCAGGCTATCTGCACCTCCAACCCAGAAAATACCACAGAAAACCTCCTCAGAAGTGACTACTCAAGGCAAAGGGACCCAGTCACTGAGGAAAATCTGTCTCACTGAGGGCTCACGTGTTACTGAGCCAAAGAGCTTCAAACTAAGCTGAACTCAGGATTTTCTAACGGACAATTTAATTCGTTTCTAATTCTCAAAATCAAAATGACTCTCTGACTAAAAAAAAAAAAAAAAAAAAATTTTTTTGAGTCAGTATCTCACTCTGCTGCCCAGGCTGGCGTGCAGTGGCACAATCCCGGCTCACTGCATCCTCAACCTCCTGACCTCAAGCTATCCTCCCACCTCAGTCTCACGAGTAGCTGGGACTACGGGATACACCACCAGGCTGGCTTCTCTGGCTAAAATTAAGAAGAAATGCCTTATCACACCCACTCTAAAACAGCAGTTCACCAGATTCTCACCTACATATCTTCCATACAATTAAGCAAACCCTTCAGATGGCACAAAGGCAGAAGGCATGACTCTATTACAGTATTATCAGCCAATCCCATGTTGATTCCTCTCAGCAGCCGGGCCCTTGCCACCCCCGCCGGAAGTCAAGTCACAGAATCCCCCCACCACCAGGAGGAGGCAACTGCTTGATCCTAACCACCCACTAGGTCACTCTGGGGAGGGTAGTGGCTTACCTGCTCCTCCGACAGTTGGGATATGTGATTCACAGCAGCATAGGATTCAATTTTGGGGTTAAAGTGGTTGATGATGGCTCTGAAACGAAGAAACAACGTTACTATAGTACCAGATGGAAGACAGGATACATTTGTTACAATTAAGGACTGAGTGCCCTGTGGCTTAGAGTAGGAGAGCATGGGAATGACTGCGACAGGGTAACTGTCCCCTTACTGAACACGAGGACTTCACAAGTGGGAGTGAACTGACAGCTCTGAAACAGGAAGGGTTTAATAATGTATTAGGCAGAGAACAGAATCAAGCAGCTCTGCCCTGCAAACGAACTGACCAAACAAAAAAGACCAACTCCTTCAAAACCCAGAGGGCTGTCCACTAGGGGTCCCTGGTGTGAAAGCAGTCTTCTCTGATTAGGCAGAACAGAGCACTCGGTAAACTGGGCCCACAAGTGGCTAATACAGTCTCTGGAGAGGCAGGGCTTCGACAAAGCCCAGAGCAACCTTCACACTTGTGAGGAAATGGTTTCAAACCCAAGTTTTATTTCCAGCTGTTCAAACCAACATCTGAGCATCATTTTCAAACACTCCCCCCTCCATCACTTGCTCACATCCAAGGTCACCAAATCTTACCAAATCTACCTCTTAAAGATCTCCAAAATCTGAAATAAATACATCTTCCTGAGACCAATGCCTTGGTATAGGCCCTTTTCTTTCTTTCTTTTTTTTGAATTGGAGCCTCATTCTGTCACCCAGGCTGGAGGGCAGTGGCACACTCATGGCCACCATAGCCTCAACCTGCTGGGTTTGGGCAATCCTGCTGGCTCAACCTTTCAAGTAGCCGGAACTATAGGTGTGCGCCACCACAATCGGCTAATTTTTTGATTTATTGTGGAGATGAGGTCTTGCTAAGTTGCCCAGGCGGGTCTCAAACCCGTGGGCTCAGGCAATCCCCTCACCTCGGCCTCCCAAAGTGCTGGGATTATAGGCGTGAGCCACTGCGACCGGCCTTATAGGTCCTTTTCATTTCTTGCCTGGTGTAGCAGAAAGAACACAGGTTTTAGATCATGTCTTAACACTAGCCCATACTGATATAAGTGGGAAGAAAAGACAGATCTTTCTTACAGAGCAATTTCAAATAATATGTGTAGATACTCCTCCCTACAGGAAATTATGTTAAATTCCCACACTCACCAAGGACAGGCTATATTTAGTGACTTATTGCCAAAGAATAGAGTAGCAAACAGGAAAAACAGTACCTTTACAGTAAAGAAACTTGGCAAACACTACCTTAACCAAATGATGAAGCCTAACATTGCCAGTGATACCATGTGGATATCATGTAACCCCTGATATGATCTGATGAGAAGGGTGCTTTACCTCTGTTGTAGTCTTCTAAAAACCCATAATCCCAGGCTAATCACAAAAAAAATGTCAGACAACCCAGAATGGAGACATTCTACAGGATACCTGACCAGTATTCCTTAAGACTGTAAAGGTCATGAGAAAAAAGACTCGAGATGTTGTTGCTGATTACAGGACACTGGGAGACACCACAACTAAATGCAGTGTGGTGCTCTGGGTTGGATGTTAGAACAGAAAGTGGACATAAATGGATAAACTGATTAAATCTAAGTAAAATATAGAGTTTATTAGTAGCAATGTATTAATGCCAGTTTCTTAGGGTTCATAAATATACCATGATGATGTAACATGAGGAGAAACTAGGCTTAGGACACACAGGAACTCTGTGAATTATCTTTGCACTTTTTTTATAAATCTGAAATTATTCCAAAATAAAAAGTTTATTAAAACATGTATGCCGGGCTTGGTGGCTCAGCCTGTAATCCTACGCCTTTGGGAGGCTGAGGTGAGTGGATTGCCTGAGCCCGCGGGTTCGAGACCCGCCTGGGCAGCGAGACCTCATCTCTACAAAAAATCAGCTGGGCGTGGTAGCGCATTCCTGTAATTCTGGCTACTTGGAAGGCTGAGGTGGAAGGATCGCCGGAGCCCAGCAGGTCGAGGCTGCGGTGGCCGGGAGCGGCCACTGCACTCCAGTCTGGGCGACAGAGTGAGACTCCAACTCAAAAAAAAACCATGTATGAAAAAGCATGGCAAATCAACATTTTCTTTTACAGCTTCTTAACAGTACAGAATAATAGAATCATTTAAACAAACTAATTCAGGTAATAAGAGTATAAGCCAAAAACTTGAAAACAAAAAATCATGGTTTGGAATTATGATTCGATCACTTGTTCTTCTGACTGATTTTTGTCAAGCTACGTATCACACCAGAGGAAAAAAGTAGAAATAATAATACTTACCTCAGTACCTAGCATAGCACCTGGGAATAGTCTACTGTAGACACACAATAAATGTTTGATGAAAGAGGATTAAATCTTAGAGGGTCCTTGTAATATTTACACAAGTTATATAAGTATATAGCATTCAAATAATATCATCTAAAACCCAGAAAGCAATGTCAAACATCTAGCATAATGCTTAGTACACAGGTGGTACTCAATAAATATTCAAAAAATGAATAAATCAAACAGGAAAAAAATGGATCAGGAACAAGAGAAGAATTCTGATAACTTATTTTTCCAGAGATTACCAAAAGGCACAGATATAATATCTGCAAGTTAAGGTTGTGGCTTGGTCTAAATCCAAGGAGAGAAAGAATTTTGTGGGCAAGTGGGGGTCAAATATTTTTCTCACTCAGAGGGTGAGGTGCAAGGATATTGGCAGGGATGCCCACAGCCCATACACAGAAAGAAAAACCAGGAGTCTAAACCCAATGAGAAGACAGGGCAGGTTTTAGAGAGGAACTGAGAATCTGACCAACCCAGCAGCAGGACCCACTTAAAGTCAAAGCAGAGTAAAGTCTGTGTCACAGAGTCTAACAACCAAGAAAAACAGAAATGAAGGAAAGGAATTACAGTAGTCAAATCAATCTACCCACAGACCTCAGTTAACTTAAGAAAAATAAGCTGCCTCTGTAAATGTATCCATTTCATGCTTTTATAGGTTTTATCCCCCTGTCCCCCCCAGGTGTTCCTTAAATTTGTGAGACAAAGTATTTTGAAAAATGTTTGGCCAGGTGCAGTGTCTCACACTTGTAATCCCAACACTTTGGGAGGAAGAGGCAAGAGGATTGCTTGAGCCCAGGGGTTCGAGACCAGCCTGGGCAACTTGGCGAGACCTTATCTCTACAATAAATAAAAAAACTAGCCTGGCGTGGTGGCGTGCATCTGTGGTTCCAGCTACTATGAAGTCTGAGGTAGAAGAATCACTTGAGCCCAGCAAGTCGAGGCTGTGGTGGCCGTGGGCATGCCACTGCACTCCAGCCTGGGTGACAGAATGAGACTCCTACTGAAAAAAAGAAAAATGTTTGAAAAAAAAATTCTGTCTCAGTTGAACTATGGTCCTTTCTTTATTGCCTAGGCTTGGAGAAAAGAGAGCAGCCCCCAGAACAATGCAGAGGAGCTAGTGAGGTTGGACAGTGAAATAATTCCTGGGCATGGAATCACTGGGGATGTTGTATTTCTGTCCCTTTCTACCTGAGGAGTTCTCTCATCAGGAAAGTAAGCAAGGAAGAGAAAAAACAAAGAGGAGGGAGAAAGAAGGAGAAAAGAGAAGAGGGAAAACAGGCTGGGAAGGAGGAAGCATGGAAAGGGACAGAGTAAGGGGAAGAAAGGAAACCTGGAAGGTATTATCTTGAAAAAGGACAGGTGTTTCCTTCCCTTCTCACCATCACACCAGCCAGGGGTCCACTGGTTCTGTGGATGGCCTGCTTTTTTTTTTTTAATTGGAGTCTCACTCCTTTGCCCAGGCTGGAGTACAGTGGTACGTTGACGGCCAACACAGTGTCGACCTGCTGGGCTCTGGCGATCCTTCCATTTCAGCCTTCTAAGCAGCCAGAACTACAGATGCGTGCTGCCACGCCCGGCTAATTCTTTTTTTTAAAAAGTTTATTGTGGAGACGAGGTCTCGCCAGGTTGCCCAGGTTGGTCTCGAACCCTCGGGCTCAGGCAATTCACTTGCCTCAGTCTCCCAAAGTGCTGGGATTACAGGCTGAGCCACTGAGCCCGGCCGATGGCCTGCTCTTAATATCGCAGGGCATATATGCTGATACTGTTTAGGCCAAGATATCGTGAGGATATGCAGATTTTCTACTCTAGAAATGTATATTTGAAATGATTAAATCATCTTCCAAACTGCCCTGTGGCATTCTCATCTCAGAACTTCAGATCTAAGCAGATGATTAAGGTCTCTCACCAGGAATCCTGAGGAAGGTGGAATAGTCTAAATCTAGTTGGTAATCTCTAATTCATTACTCGCAAAGGCAGTATATGCCCCTGACTTACTTTTCTGGCTGTTTCTTTGGGACTGTTATCTGCAAAATCTAAGTACTAACCTGAGGCCACTGAGATGCCAGGTTCAGGGCTTTAGGCCTAAGGAGTAAGGAAAATCATCTGACACTGGCTGACTCTAGGTTCTTAAGAAAGGAATTTCAGAGAGAGCTTGGAGGCGGTTCATTGAAGTTGACAGGACTTTGTACTATTGAAAGGGAAATCTGCTTTGAGAGGCCGAGGTGAGTGGATCGCCTGAGCCCGCTGGCTTGAGACCCGCCTGGGCAACTTGGCGAGACCTCATAATAAATCAAAAATTAGCCAGATGTGGTAGCGCGCACCTGTACTTCTGGCTACTTGGAAGGATAAGGCAGAAGGATCGCTGGAGACCAGCAGGTCGAGGCTGCGGTGGCCAGGAGTCACTGCACTCCAGTCTGGGTGACAGAGTGAGACTCCAACTCAAAAAAAAAAAAAAAAGAAAGAAAGGGAAATCTGTCCTGAAATGGCAGAATGCTAAAACCAAGCTCAGTCAGCCCAAACTGAGTGGTCAGTGACTGAAGACTTTACAGTGACTGAAGACTCAGCCCCTCCCTCCCAGGAAGTGTGGAGGCAAGACCAGCTCATCCAGATTATGACACCTCGATATCACATCTAGTCCGAGAAGAGGACTCAGGCTCAACTGGCAGGAAAATGACAAGGAACCAGATGTCTGGCAGAAGGAGTCTTCTCTCTC